CTTTCGTTTGGCTTACTACCGTGTCTTTTCACGGAGAATTTAGAGGCCTCTGGTTCATATTTCTGGATTTCCGCAAAATTTAGAAAATGATTTACGGACCAACGATGCTCGACAGCTCTTCAGCAGTTCAAAGGGTATTTTGCTATCAGCCGAAACAGTGCTGCGTCATGTCAAATATGGCAGCTGCCACATGTTTCGATCCAAGCTTGATCGTTTTGGGCCCATTGGCTCTTATATCATACTGCAGAGTGTTGTTTCTTTACTTAATCAGTAATGCTTTTTTCGATTAAAAAAGACGGCTGTATGTTTTTGCCATTTATGTTCTAAGGTCGTGACAAATAGGGTTTCTACGTCTGGGATTCATGAAAAAGAAAGCTATCAATAACCTTATTATTATTATTATTTTTTTTTTTTGTCGATTTCTGGTTTCTTTAGGGTTACACAAATAAGAAAACTTGCTTCAATGCTTTCGCCGAAATTGTGTTGTTTACGGCGCCGGAAATGGAATAGTCGCATCAAAAAGCCAGTCATATTAGACTGATTCTTTTAGTCATAGAAACCACACACTGGATTGTGCCTTAAAACAATTTCCCGCAGTACATACTGGATTAAGAACAGAAAAAGTTAACCCTATTTTATAATGTACACCTTCTGAAACAATGCATAAAAAAAAAACGTTTCCGCGAGAATTCTTTTCTTTCCTAGGGAAAAAATATATTATTCGACCCATTTCATTAACAATTAAAGGGGCTATGTCAGCTGGAGAGCATGCGCTCTGAGGTTATGCAAATTACTTTCAACTGTCAAAATTCTATTGTTTTTAACCCGTGACTTTCTCCATGTTCTCTGTCACGTCCGAATTTAGCCTGCGTGGCAGGCGCAAAAAGGGGAGGGGGAGGGGGAAGGGAGAAAGGGAAAAGGGAAGGGACTGGTTCACGATAATGCGCATGCGCGCCGTTTGTCTCTTCAGAAGAAATTTGTCAGGTCAACGCTAAATTCGAAATCGCCATTACCGGTACAATCATTGAAAATCCTTGGTTTTATTCGGACATCCGTCGCTTTGGCTGGTCTAGTGATACTTCGGTAGTGGTGATTAACGTTTGGTTGTGTCGTTTGACTGGTTACTTTTTAAGAAGACGCAAAAAATAATGTTTTGATCATGGAGGTTCAGAAGAGCATCGTGGCCGTCCGGCAACAGGACGTTCTCAAGAGTCTCTGGAGATAGAGAAGCTTAGCATATCGATCTGGTATGGTTCTAGGAGTAGTGTGTGGCATACGAAAAGAATACACGACACTTGGAAAGTGGTTAAAGGCATGAGTTCGTTCAACTTTGATTTGATTTTTGACCCCGACCTGTAGTTATACCGCAACAGCCCGCGCGATCTTCACCGATCTGGTACACTTGAAATGTTCCTTGTATCTTTGCTTTACGATCGTATATGTTTAAGAATTGATGCTTTTAAAATAAATTATTGCCTGAAGATTCTGTTTATAATCTAGTTTCTTTATGTGTTTTACTCGATAACATTTTTTCCCTTCCTCCCTATCCCCTACCCCCTACTCCCTTCGACGCCTGCTACGCAGGCTACTCCGAATTTAGAGAGGTTAACAAGCGAAATGGGTTTAGATAAGGGATATTTCGATAGAATTTACGGAACGTTTCTTCTCGGGTTATGCTAGATCAAGAATAAAATTGTGACGAAAATTTTACTTGTAGTTTTGAAGTAAAAACGCATGCCATTCATAAAATAGAGCGCAAACAGAAATTCAACAACAACATATTGTCTTATTCAACAAAATAAATCGAAGTTGTATTTTACATACGAGCTACAAAAGACGCTAGACCGAAGATAAAAAGACCAAGACTGTTTTAAATCATTAACAATTAGACTTGTCTGTCGCTAGTGATTTTATAATTTAGATGCTGATAGAACAAGAGACATCAAGTCTTTGTTTTGATCTTAGGGAAACATACATTATCGCGCAAAATTGTTCGATCGTGCCGAATCACTGCGACGTCGAGAAAAACAGAACCAAGCATCATTGGTATACTACTCCACTATAAGCAGTCTGTTGAGAAAAAGGGAAAGTAAACTCTGCTATTTTCCAAAAATATGCTGGAACACAAACAGTTCAAAAACATGGCATTTGCAGGATCTAACTCGTACTAAGCTGCCTCTCAAAGTCCGTTGCCGAGAACCATCTGGACGAGCAAACGGTCGTGTTTATCTTTGCCGTGAATCCAGATAAATACAAGAAGGAATCTAGCCGAATTTTATAATGTTTTCTTCGCCAGGAGTTTAGTTTCGTCACGAAACTCATGGCCTGATGCTCTTGTAATCGTTTACAAAAAACGGCCGCCGCCAACTCGATAGCCGCTTCATTATATGTGCACATACTTTGAGCACAAGAAAAATCCAAGAGCCAGCAGCCTCTAAAATAACTCAATAGAAAGGTTCTGTGAACTATAGGGAAGATCCCATTAAAGATTCCATCACTCATTGTGGAGTAGCCGTCATTAACTCTGCCATTACAACGGCCGCTGATAAGAGGACACAGTAAATCCACGTAAAGACATTCCACAGGCAAACAATTTCAAAATAACGCCAAAAAATTATTCTGTAATCACCATAGAACGATTCTTAATACAAAACTTCGCTAACTATCGAACGATGGCTGAGATTTAGACAGATAAAAACAGCCTTCCAAAATCTCCGACACAACTTGAAAAAGTCGGGCCGTCTTTTTAAAGTTTGTTTTCATTGGCTCGCGCATGCGTGTGGGGTGACATAGCCCCTTTAAAAGCTACTGGTATAAGAAATATTTTGTGCTGGAAGAAAGTTGGTGAGTCTGTACAAGGTGGCGCAGATCAATCGTTGTTCATCTAAATTACGAAAACAACCTCTTAGATTTTCTGGTAGAATAAAGTTCTAAAATCCTCCTGGTCAAATCTCGAGGTGATGCAATGTGTTGTAGTCTATCGTTGCATAATAGATTTCTTTGTAGTCAATGGTTTTTTGCAAAGTGCATGATGTCTATCTGCCATGGGGCTCCAATCTCTTCGTGCCTTGCTGGTGCATTTCATTTCCTAGGCATTTTGGGAACTACAATGTTTTGGATTCGCTTGTTTTGCGTTGCAAGGTTCGAGACCAAAATAGTTCAAATAAGGCTTTATTCCGATCTTTTAATTAATTAATTTTTTCACCACGTCACTCGCAAACCGGTAACACTGAGTCGCTAGCTGAAGTAGACTGAATCTTGCAATGCGAGACTTAGATTGTACGGGTTTGGTCAATCAGCTGCTCACCCAAAGAGCATCTAAAGTAAAAACTAAAACTGGGCCTCACTGAGAGCACCTCGGATTTTCGTTTTCAAGTCAGTCTCCTTTATTTTAACCCACTTAGCGATCAGTTCCACATTTCCATGAGTTCCCTTCGGTAATTTTTAAACCACCACCATGGCTAGCGCTTCCGCCCCGCATAGTCCATCTTGTAATAGTGCAAAAAAAAGTTGTATGCACTCTGCGTGATTCATTCTTATCGTAGTCTCGGCTGTTATTTTGTCCAGCTTTACATTCGTTGGCAGGGAATTTTTAACTGCACATATTCCTAATTACTCTAACCATCTCGAGTGAATCGCTGACGCATTTAGTGGATCTGATGGCACTGTCCTCGGTCAGGTTTAAGTTTATCAAGAAAACATGTACTCTTGGGTACAAACATTTGTCCTTGTCTTGATATTCTTGATTTGCGTAGCTACTCCAGATTTCTCGCCTGCCATTGTTGTTTCACTATTGGTACTAACCATGAGCTCGCTGGATGTTTGCATTCATTTTAGTAAAGTAATATGTCCATGCTGCCACCACCTGATGTGCATGAAGGCATTCACGCAGAATCCCTCTGGCCATCTTTTCTAGCACCACATTTTAAGCATGAATTACTGAAGAGGTGAATTTGTTATCTTGTCTCTGAAGCCACTCACAGTCTCTAGGTTTTGTTGAAAACGGAGTTGTATTCATCACTTGCGGTCTCAGAGGGACCCAGCCTCCTTTTAAGGGAAATGCCTGTTGAGCTAAATGCCTTCTGTTCGATAGGATGATCAGCAAAATACTCCTATGCTTTCTCTTCCCCAGTGAATGCATCTCAGCACTGTTGAAGATACAGTGACATATCTCGCCATCCCTTGAAATGTACTTTGCTAAAAATTTTTTTTCGTGCCAGTGGCGTTTTTAAAGTTGCTAAACCCATTCCTTGTAAAGCTGGTCACACTGAGACGACAGTATGTAGTTTTCAAGTGCTTTTAACAGACATGGCAGAAAAGTACATCTCTTGTACATCTTTTATCTCTTGATAATGCAGCCACTTATATCGTTAACTGAAACCACGCTGGCTAAAACAATCTCTTTCTTAACTTCTTACTGCCGAATGTCTTCGCTTCGGATATTAATATTCTTCGGCTGATTTGGGTTTTGAGATTCAATATCATAGACTTGATCCGAAGGACTTATTTTAGTTTTTGTTTCCGTCAAGTCTTTTTGTCGTTCCTTTGTGGTTTTATCGCACCAACCATGCCTGGTACTGGACCCCACCCGACCAGATTCCCAGGCTACAAGGCTTTGACACGTTAATAAAGTTCTTGCTTACTTACTTACCTACTTACTTACTTACTTACTTACGATGAAATAGAGCAACTGAGAAGATGCAACTGGCTTGAAATTGGTGTTGACAAGAGGAAAGCAACTAACATGCAGTAGTTATTAGTACAGACGACCAGACAAGTGAATGGTTTTTTTTTTTGGCCCGCAGTGATTTGCTAGCTCAGAGGTGATTAGGTACTACCAGTGGCGCGCGAGATTCTAAAAATCCGATCGTTTTTCAGTTTATTGTAAAGGATATCGAGTTTTTGGCGCTTTTTATTCAACTCGTGTGGTATATACTAGAACAATTATTCACCTCCACATCACTTAATTATTAATTATCTGGTATCTTTCTTTTTCAGAGATGGGTGGTGGACACAGCGCAGAGGCGCAGCAGCTCCATTCATTTCAGAGATGGGAAGAAATGACAGTATCCAAGGGAGATGAAGAGATGACTCTTCCCTCAAGTCCATTAATTTCCGTTGAAGAGATGCAGAGATGGGCAAAGGCCACTTGCCAAATCATTTTGGGTCCTGGTTCTTGGGGCACAGGGTTCTTTGTAGTTTTTCGAATCCATGAGAATCAAATCTTGCACGGTTTAATGACAAACAATCATGTCTTAGATGAGAGCAGGCTTGAAGATGAGCAGAACGTTCAACTTCGTCTTCACAACGATGAGACGATCACTGTGCAGTTGAGGGGAGTTGGAATCCGATTCACCTGCCCTTTGCTTGATGTCACTTTTATTGAGCTGAAGGAGGCTGATGTCCAAACAATGGTTCATCATGGCGTAAAATTTCTCGAGGTGTGTAGTTCTTACCAGTGTACCCGTCCGGGAACAGCAATAGCCGTCATGCAATACCCCGAAAACCACTCCGCGCTGACCTTCGCGCAAGGTAATGTGCATTCGCTTTGGGGAACTTGTATCTATCACAAGGTTTCCACGAATTATGGTTCTTCTGGTTCGGGGATTGTGTCCGTGCACAGTGGAGAGGTAGTGGCGATACATCGTGCGAGAAACTCCGACATGGAAATGAATGTAGGTGTTAGAGCTCCTGTTGCCATCCAGGCAATTGACAAAGTTATCAACGTCAACATTGCACATCACAAGCCAGCTAAAGATCTCAACCATCGCGAATTACAGGAACTTAAAATGCTTGGCCTCCACCCAACAAAGAACAAGTTTTTGTTTATCAGTCCGTCAAGTCTATTTGTCACACCTTTGTGGTTTTATCGCACCAACCATGCCTGGTACTGGACCCCCGCCCGCCCAGACTCCTATGAAATAGAGCAAGTGAGAAGGTGCAACTGGCTTGATATTGGTGTTGGCAAGAGCAAAAGTGTAATAGGTGGCTACTGGAACGGACAAACGCCAGCTTCAAGAAATATAGTGCTAATAGATAAACTTGCAGCTACCGGTTTTAAATATCTCTTGTCAATATCTTAAATACATGTCCAATGTGGTCCAATCAGAGACACTAGTTTTTAATCGAATGTCGTCAAACCAATACCAAAGTAACTGATTTGACCAATCGTAGGTGAATCAAACCGCACCATGAACCATTCAGATGATAGACCATTTATTGTTTTTTGACCCCATATTGGCTGGGGATCGGGGTATGGCAGCAAACACGGCTTAAATTACAGTGAATGTATGGTAATTTTGCCCACTTTGCACCATCACAAATCGTTTAAGGTTTGACGGTTGTGCATAGCCAGAATACTTCTCAAAAAGCACTTCTCTCAAGATTGTTATCGTGAAGTATGGCGAGCAGAATACACAGATTAGACTGTAAACGAGATTTGTAGATTTCAATGAACCCTTGCAATCAAAATTATGTAAATTTCCGCGAAATTTAAAGCGACTTGAGGAGACTTCTAATATCCAATTTTCACGCGTTGCGCCTTATGCAATGTTCTAGTTCTCTGCTGAGCGAATTGATATTAATAAAATGACTAAAGGTGTTTTAACATGTTTGAAATCTGTCGCTTTGCAGCGGAGCTATAGAGGTTTAAATTCCGTCAAATTCCCACACATTCACTGTAATCAGGGGGGGGGGGGCCACAACTCCAATAGCGCCTGGTACTTGTTTCGTGTACCTATGATCCACCGATTTATGACATCACATCCGGTTGCAAAGTTGCTGCTCTGTTTTGGCGCGAAGCACCAAGATGGACGCCCGATGCTATTTGGTTTCTTCGTTATTTTAACCAACAGGCTAACGGAATTATGTATCTTGAATGCCGAGAATGTTGAGAAGGTATCTAGCCGGCCTTTCAAGCAAATGTCATGACCAAACAAAGAAGATTTGGTATTATTTTAATGATAAATATCATGCAGCTGCGTGGAATGTCATGGCGAGTCTTGCGATGTTTCAAAACGAGTGTCGTTAACGTTTTTCGGCTGTTGCGGCTTATCATTTAGAGAAGTCATCAATCAAAATATAATTTCCTGAGCGGAATAGAATGGGGAAAACGCCGATGGCCACAGTTTAAAGTGTTCACCGCTGGAAGGCTGGATCACGCCCCGTAAAGTTGCAGAAACTTGCACTCAACTGCATGGTTTTGAGGAATGTCATGGCGAGTCTTTCGCTGTTTGTAATCGAGCGTCACTCAAGAGTTTGGCTTTCGCGGCTTCTGATTCATCGAAGTCACCAATCAAAATTGCCTATCCTGAGCGAAATACCGTGTAGAAAAAGCTTATGGTCACAGTTTAAAGTGTTAACAGCTGGAAGGCTTGGCACTCGACGTAAAGTTGCTGAAAGCTTTTCTCGACTGTACGGTTTGAGCAATGTAATGGTGAGTCTTTCTCTGTCTAATCGAGCGTCACTCAAGACTTTGGCTTTTGCATCTTCTGATTCACCGAAGTCATCAATTAAAATACCCTATCCTGAGCGAAATACCGTGGAGAAAAAGCCTATGGTCGCAGTTTTTTGGAAGGCTTTGCCACTCGACGTAAAGTTGCTGAAAGCTCTACTCAACTAATTAGAAATAGTCACACGTGGCGTGCTTCTGGAAGGTTAGCGTTGGATTTTTAGCCTTTAATTTGCCTTTGAAGATTTATGTTTAGAACAAGCCTTAAGCCCAAAAGTAGTCCAATTTGTCATTATCTGAGAGAAATCAAGAAAGTTTGTGCCCTTCCTTTTTTCTAAGCTTGCAAGTGTAACGCACCTGAAAAGAAACCCTTGTGCACTACAAGTCATATTGCCAAAATGACTAGTTCGAAATTACTCCTTATCTTAACTGATAACTACAACTCTTATTTAAAAATGTATGGCTCCCGAACATGTGTTGATTGGTTCTTGACCTTTACAGTTGAAAAAAAAATACTACGAATTACAGTGATTATAGTTATGTAATTAATTAGTAAATCAAAAAAGAATGAAATTCAAGCGAAAAAACAAAACAGCTGTTTTAACTGTTTTAGAGGTTTGAAGGTCTGAAGGGATCACTAGAGCTGTAATATGAGACTCAACAAGAGGTCTAGTTACTTTAGAACACGTTAGAAGTTAGGGTCATTCGTAATGCTGTACTGCACCTTATTTTATCTGACGATTATCTAAGGTATAAAAAATGAATTTTGTGTATTTTTAAAGACTTCAATATATGCTTACTTTTGAATTTATAAACAATATATATTTAAATCCTACACTGTAAGTCTGGTTGTCAGTGTAGCCTGTGTCGCAGACATAATCTATTGCCGGTTAGTAACATCTGCAAAGCCGTGCCAATATTATGGGCTGCCAATCACAATGTGTTTCGATATTCCCTTCAACCTGATTGGCACACTGATAATGGTATTTTTAAGAGGCCAATCATAGTACATATGCAAGTGCTAGTTTACAGGTGGGCCACGGGGTGCCCAGAAGCAGGATTTCAGTGCTGTCTCACAGGGGGACATAACCAGAAGTTTAGTTCTGTCTGTGGCACAGGCTAGTCCTCTGGGCATAAATGTTTAAATTATGTATTTTATGTTGCTTAGCTGGGAAGACAAAAATAGATGACAGAAGAGCACAAACAGGAGAATATCAAGAAGTATTAAAAAGTATATCTACCACACAACTCGTAAAGAGAGGTGAAAGTGCATGAGGACAGAAATGTTGTTACAGAGCCATAAAACATTAATGTTAAGTACAACTCACTGTCAAATAAGTTAAAAGGAAGGAAGAATGCTGACATTTCGAGGAATACACTTTTCTGGTTTATGGAAAATCTGCAGCAACAGAAGACACTGAAATCATGTTGAGCTGGTTCAGGATGTCAATTCTGTTTAGATGGAATCCTCTGACAGTGTCTAGGCCAGTGTACAGTAGTGTGCTTTGAAGGTGGTCCTTGGTAAGACATTTCTTGACTTTACATGCCAACTCTCTTTCAAGGACCTCAAGGCTAAGTGTCTGTTTCCCTGACATTCACTTTCTTGTCAGGGATCAGCAAATTTTAACTAGACGACTGTGTTAACTGTAGTTTTTTTTCGTAAGACTTAAAAAACTTCACAGGAAAGACTGAAACTAATGATCTTGCACTAAGCAGCTTTGAAGAAATCAAGGTTTCTGGGGGGTGGGGGGGAGGCTGTGCTGCACATATTTCGCTTGGAGATACGAGGGCAAACACCCTAGATGCAACTATAGGAAACCAAACTAACCTTGAATTTAATAGAGAGTATTCACTCACTTGGCTTATTAGTTTGGGACACCATGGTCTCCGTTTCATTCTTTTGGGACACCAATATGGCCACCGTGACATCATGTGAATACTCTCTATACTTCAGTCAGTTTCTCATGTTTATTTTCCATCCCTAAGCATTCTGTCCTCCTGTGGAAAGGAGTTGGTGGTTGAGTTATGACAACTTCATCCCTTAGTGTTCTTCATCCCTCAATTATGATCAGTCAGAGTAAAGGATGGTTAATATGATCCTGATTAGGAGAAGAAAGCTTTCTATTAAAGGCACCATGGTCAAGAAGACCAAATGTAAATCCCTATCTCACCTCATTGACATGGAGAAACAAAAAAGGGATGGGCTGACACCCAGCATAGTGATGTGCAGTATTAAGCTCAACAAGGATACAGGAAAAATCCACAACTGAGAAACTGGTTTTTAAGAACCTGTCAGGCTAAAATTTGAAACAGGTTATTGATCATAACCATTACAATTTCCTCAAATTTGATTGGTGCATTAACTGCTTTTTTTTTCTTTAATCATTGTGTATAGTTGCTTGCAATCAGACAGGTATGTTAGCCAATCATATTAAATGCACTCAGCTAAATCCACCAATCACAGAAGTTATCATGATAACCATAGCAACAATCACTTACCCAAACAAACTGGGGATTAATCCAAAATGGATGAATATGCAACATTTAGGCAGTGTCTCCACCAGTGATATTTTCCCTTACTTTGGACATTTGGTATGAACAAACACTCTTTCACCAAAAAGGAATGCATTTATTTTCTTGGAAATTGTAACAGTTATAATTATTAATTGGTAACAGGACTCTGTGTCGTCCAATTCAATCTGTAATCATACTCATGATTAAACAAATCTGACTCCTGCTTCGCGGTTGTCCAAGTTTGTAACACTTGTATGATTACAGACTGAATTGGACTCCCCTCAGTCCTATTACCATTATTTATAAAATCTCTTAGAAAAAGCTTCTGCACAGTGTACACTTGGGAAGGTAAGATAAGTCAACATTCAGGGTCCTCTTTTGAGACATAGGTGTCTAATAATATTTATTATTACTCTGACTGCAATGTGATGGCGTACAGGTTTTACATATACTAAGGAAAGAGCTGAATGCCACTAAATACTTTTAGCTCAAAGCTACAAAGTATTTTTTTTTCAGAAAATAAGGACCTATTTGAGACTGAACCTAAATAGCCTAAATCTGTGCTAATTAGTTTTTCTTTAAGAACCTGACTTGTTTAGGCTAACTTGGGAAAATACAGGTTCTTGGTTGCAGGTTTTTACTAGTAATTAAATTTGATGGAAAAAAAGATTATCAAAAATTAACATAGCCAGATGAGCTTATTTACAACTCCATTTTTCAGACCTGCAATTTATTTAAGGCTGTCTTTTAAAGGAACCACAAGAACAGCATGTATTTTTATTTTCAGCTTTAATAAATTCCAGACTATTTTAATGATCTGGGGCCGGTTGCTCGAAGCCTGGTTAGCGCTAACCGTTGGTTAAGAGGTATCAAAATGTATAGGTTTCCATGGTATTTAACGCTGGTTAGCACTAACCATGCTTCGAGCAACCCGGGCCTGGTTAGAAAATCCTCTTAACAGATGGAATAGCAAAATGTGAATTAATAAATCCTTTGATCAAACTGTCTTCTGCTTTTCTCTTGCCAAACCATCTTTCCCTACAGAGGAGCAAAGGTTGTAGCAAATCAGAAAAATAAAACAAAGACAAGAGGCTACACCTGAAACCCCTCTTTACTGTT